AAAACACCATGAGGCATGATGAGTCCCCATGTACCTCCCAAGAAGCAATCACCACACCAGACAATGCAATTCTGGCTGACCCCTTCCTCAGAGCTCCCCTGTGCACCACCCCCAGGTGGCCCTCCCCCAAGCTGGGTGCGGGACCCCCGGCTGCCCCCGTGCACGCTGCGCCAGGCTCTCACCTTCTTCCTGGACATCACTTCCCCGCCCAGCCCTCAACTCCTTCGACTGCTCAGCACCTTGGCAGAAGAACCCAGTGAACAGCAGGAGCTTGAGACCCTCAGCCAGGTTGGGGGGCAGCCCAGTGGGGAGCAGGGGCTAGTGGGGCAGAATGAGCTGAGAAGGGGAGCCCACCTGGCTAATGCGTACTGGGGCTTTAAGACCCAGCTCCAGTCACTAATTCATCTCTGAACGCTCGCTCGAGGTCTTAAAGAGCCAGGCACAGAGAAGTGTTGGCCTGAATTGAGGAGGCCGAAATCCCAAGGAGGCTCAGCTGGGAAGGGGTCAAGAAGGGAGGTCAGCAGGCAGGGTTGGGAGGTCCCATTGCACCCTGTCCCCACCAGGACCCCCGGCGCTACGAAGAATGGAAGTGGTTCCGCTGCCCCACGCTGCTGGAGGTGCTGGAGCAGTTTCCTTCGGTGGCACTGCCTGCTGCCCTGCTCCTCACCCAGCTGCCCCTGCTCCAGCCCCGGTACTACTCCGTCAGCTCAGCCCCCAGCACCCACCCAGGAGAGATCCACCTCACAGTTGCCGTGCTGGCATACAGGACCCAGGGTGAGGCTGCGGAGGGCCAGGGCCAGGGCCACACAGTGACCCCAGGATGGGCCCCTCACTGGCTCCCTCTCCTCCCCAATCCCCTAGATGGGCTAGGCCCCCTGCACTATGGAGTCTGCTCCACATGGCTGAGCCAACTCAAGGCCGGAGACCTTGTACCCTGCTTCATCAGGGGGTAAGTGAGCACTGTGGGGGATGGAGGCAGGAGGGGCGTCAAGAAGAGTGTCTGTCCAAGCAGAGGTGGACAAAGTGCCAAATGGATGACCGGGAACAGATGGAGGAATGGGTGGACAGTTACACAGAGTAAGGATGGAAGCTTTGATGAGCAGGAGGGGCCTACCTAACATACCAAGGATGGGGCGTCCAGTTAAACCACTTCGGAACTTTGGCTAAGCTTTGGGCCTTTCACTGATTTGGACTTAGGGTCCTGCCCTGAAACTGCAGCTTCTGGAGACAGGACTGAGATTAGACCCTCAGGCCCTATTGCTTTTAGAAGGGGTACTGTGTTCCTCACTATATCCTTGGGGTCAGTGTGATATTAGGCCTGGCACTTGGGAACTGTGCCCTGTTCAAGAACAGGTCCCCACTTAGTCTGGGGAGAACCAGTGAAGTTACCATAGTATCACCTAGGACTCAGAGAAAGCGGAGGGTCTCGTGCTCTGTTCAGAAGTCCTGCCCCACTCAGCAGCCAGGAGCCAAAAGTCTCGAGTGGGACTAAGAAGAGTTCCCAGAGTGGCACCAGCTAGGCCCAGTGCCCCAAATCCATGCAGGAGGCCAAATTACAGATAAACCGCACCAACCTACTGAATACAAACCAAATACCAACATTGAGGCCACGATTCAAAATAAACACACTCAGTGAACCCGTGATGAACCAAAAGGCTGTCCTTCCCTTCCCCGTATTTCAAAATCTCCTAAACTGAAAAGGTCAAAACATTCTTCAAATTGAACTATATTTCCTTTTGACCCAACCACCCAAAACCTCAGGTCCAGGGCATTTCTGCCTGCAAGCAGAGTTCTTTTAATAAACACATCGTGCTTACTATGAGCTAGACACTGTCATGAGCTCTTCACAAGTATTAACTCATCTCCAGTGAATTGGGTTCTCCCCTCTCCACCACGCTGAGGTTGGGACACACAGGGGCTGGGGAAGCCAAGGGAGCCTGACGGAGCGTCTCTCCGCCAGGGCTCCCTCCTTCCGGCTGCCTCCGGACCCCAGCTTGCCCTGCATCCTGGTGGGCCCCGGCACGGGCATCGCCCCCTTCCGGGGATTTTGGCAGGAGCGGCTGCATGACATTGAGAGCAAAGGTGAGGCTGGTGGCAAAGAGAACGACCAGAAGGCAGGAGGGAATCACACAATCTAGGGACAAAGGTGCAGGGCCTGGAAGGCAGGAACCAGGTAGGAAAAAGGGCAAGGAACCAGGGTCACGACAATGAAAAGAAGCTTATTAGACCAAGGGGAGGGGGAGGGCCTAGAGGCAAAGGCAGTGCCCTGTTGGTCTGGCTTCCTGGTGCCAGACACAAAGTAGGTGTTGGATTGGATTAGGGACGAAGGGACAAGAGGAACTGGAAGTCTGGAGAGGATGGGGCTGGAACTCAGAAGACAAGAAATGCCCCAGGTGAACTCTGGACTATGCTGGAGCTCAGCTAGGCATGTCCAAGTCCCAAGGAAGCTACAGGGTGTTCAGGCTGGGCCAGGCCAACTGGTAAATCGAAAGAAGGGGGCTGGGCTGAGAGGAAGGTAGAAAGTGTGGGAGCTGAAGGTGTGGGAGAATAGGGGGTTGGAGCAGGGAAGGGGCTGGATAGAGTCCCAGAACTGCAGTGTTAGACTGCAGAGGGCTTCACTTTCCGAGACAGAAGCCCCACGTTCTGGAGCAGCAGGGTCATTCCACTGGAGGGAAGTCACCGTCTCCTGTAAGCTTCGGCTTCTTCTGTGTAAATCAGGGTCAGACAAGATTTCTGCGAAAGCATCCTGCACTCTCCTAGAGGCCAAAAAGCCAAAAGTGATTGATTCTGTCCGAAAGGCTGGGCTGTCAGCCAGGGCGAGGGTAGCCAGCGGGAGGGGTCGCTGGGGCTGCGGCCCCGGGAGAGAGGGCTCGCCCAAGCCACAGTACTGCTTGCAGGGCTGCAGCCCGCCCCCATGACCTTGGTGTTCGGCTGCCGATGCTCCCAGCTCGATCACCTCTACCGCGACGAGGTGCAGGATGCCCAGCAGCGCGGGGTATTTGGCCGCGTCCTCACCGCCTTCTCCAGGGAACCGGACAGCCCTAAGGTGCGGGACTCTAAGGGGGCGGGGGTAACCTGAAATTAGGGACAGGGGGAAGGACCGACGTGCGCTCCAGCGGTGAGCGCAGGCCCAGGCCCTCCCCTCTGCTCCCACCCAGCGGCGCTCAGGCACCCGCACCCACTGGGCCCCATCCGCGTGCCCAACGCGCCCTTTGGTCTCACCCACCCTCAACAAGCCCCGCCCCGCCCCTTGCTTGGCTCCGCCTCTCTAGACCCCATCCCCAGCGCACTTACGCTTCATCTGGCCGGCTAGGAATTTTTTCACACCTAAGGCTCGCCCTCCCCCTCGGGCCCGCCCTCTGCTGCCCCCCTCTCCCTCCCCTCCCGGCCCGCGCCCCCAGGGCATGTCCCTAACCCCACCTCCCTTCAGACCTACGTACAGGACATCCTGCGGACCGAGCTGGCTGCCGAGGTGCACCGCGTGCTGTGCCTCGATCGGGGCCACATGTTTGTCTGCGGTGATGTCACCATGGCAACCAGCGTCTTGCAGACGGTGCAACGCATCCTGGCGACAGAGGGCGACATGGAACTGGACGAGGCCGGCGACGTCATCGGCGTGCTGCGGGTGCGAAGGAGCCGGTCCCGGGGCGAGGCGGGGCCATGCCGGGGGCGGGGCCCACTGCGGTACCGATCCCCCTACTGCGGTTCTGACCCGCTGCGCTCTTTCTCCGCAGGATCAGCAACGCTATCACGAGGACATTTTCGGGCTCACGCTGCGCACCCAGGAGGTGACAAGCCGCATACGCACCCAGAGCCTTTCCTTGCACGAGCGGCATCTGCAGGGCACAGTGCCCTGGGCGTTCGACCCGCCCGGCCCAGACACCTCTGGTCGCTGAGAGTCCTCTTGCTTTCTACCCCAGTTCCCGGAGAGGGGCTGTCGGTCCATCCTGGCTCTGCTGCTCCCCTGTCGGCCTAACCAGGACCGGCCGCCTCCCCCACTCCCCTCCCGAGGTGCCTTCCCTTGTCTGTCCGGAGCCTGTGGACACTTCACCTTATTCCGGAATGAGCGAATGTCCCTTTCTCTCTCTAGACCCCTTCCCTTACCTGGGTCTGAGTAAATCTGGAAGGCCTCTCCCAGCAGTGGTATTCCAGGGCCCACTGTCACCCCTTTGGTGTTCTTTCGGTGAATTTTTAGATCCCCTTACCTCTCTCAGGAGTATGTTATCTTGACACCTAATTTCTAAATCATTCAAATATTTATTCGTGAAAACTCACCATAAGAGACTGGACCAGATGTTATGAGAACTACTAAGATGCCTAACCCAGCTCCCATTGATTAAAATTAGAGAACGACAAGCTTTGTCTTTTAACTTATGCAGATGCGGGTGTTAGGGGGTGGGGCAGGAGAGGCTGGTAATTCTTTGATGGGGCGCTGCAGTGTACACGTTCCACTGACCCAGCACTCTGGAAACGTGGCTTCCAGCCAATCACAGGCAGTTCTCCTGTGTTGCTTCCTAGCTCTTGATTGAGAAGCAGGTACAGCTCTCAGCTGCCAGGAGTGAGGATGGCAGAGACCCAGGTCACAACGATGTGTAATACAGCCGTGAGGAACCTTTACTGCTTTTTTCAGACAGGATGAGGAGTCACACCCACTTCCTCAGACATCACACGAGTGCTGAACTTCAAAAACATCAGCCTTTCCACTCGCAAGCCCCCATTGCCCGCCTCCACAAGTCCGGTGGGAAGCTGGAGGCCAGGCGGGCCAGGAGAACCCACTGCCTCTCAGGCCCTGTCCCTCACTATTGTCCTTAGGTTTGGTTTGGCCTCTGCCTTGGCCCTGCCCTCCACCTTGAGGATACTTGGGGACTGCTTCCCAGGCAACTGCTCCAGGACAGCTAGATGGGAGGTGTCCCCTTAGCCCTTCCACGTGGGAATCGTCCCTAAGACTTGTTTCCAGATGCCTTCGGCATCTCTTCTCTTGCTCTTTCTCTGCCCTCTGGGGCTAGTTCATCATTAACCTCCAAGTCCTGCCCAACTAAAGCATCCTTGGGCCCATAGTCCATGGGGGGCCTCTAAAGAGGGCTTGGCGTGTCCTTCCACTCCCCCTCGTCTGATCTCCTGTGGCTGGAGAAGCCAGGGAACCTGCGGAAGGAGAAGACTCATTGTAGCAAGCAGTCCAGAGGTTTAGGTTCCAGAGATGACCATTCCCATCATGCTGGATTCCCACCACTGTTCCCATGCCTCCAAGTCTGGCTCCATCCAACTTCCTGTTCATTCCCCTACCCCTGTGCCAATTAGACAATACTGACCCAGAGGAGCCCCCTCAGTCAGTGCTAGGGGCCTGGCCAGGCTCCTTCTGGGTGTCTGTGGTCTCCTGAAACCCTCCAGGGAACAGATTCTGGGTCCTCTGGGTTCTCCACCGCTGTTTGGGGCTGGAGGCAGGACTGGAGCCTGATGAGAAAAGCCATCAGCTGGGCAGTGCCGTGACGCCCACGGTCCACCCAGGGTCTGTTCCCTGCACACCCTGACTGCCTCACCATCACTTGACCAGGATGGCTTCTCCTCATCAGGCGAGAGTGTCTGCAGGGGGCTGGACCAGGGCCTGGACAGGGTGGAGGCTGAAGCCTCACCCCACAGTTCCTGCTGCTGCTGCTGATGGAGCTAGATAGAAGGAAGAGGAGTGAGGGGCTCCCTCCTGCCCCGCAGTGGGAGGCCCAGCCCCTAGGCTAGGCGCAGAGGGTTCTGAAATCTCCTCTCCCAGCTCCTGTTAAGTACTTCCTTAGCCTCCTCCTCAGTACTCATTTGGTTCAGCTGCTTTCTCCCCACATTTCTATTTTCCGCACCCCTCTACTCACCTGGTGCAGGTAGATAGCATGGAGACTCATCTCAGCAGAAGCAAGCTCTGGGAGCTGGGCCAGCTTCTGGCCCCCAGTGCCTCCTGGGGACACACAGCTAGAACAGAGTTCAGTGGATCAAAGGTATGCCCCTCCCCCCTCCACTGCACGGGGAGGGCCAGGCTTGATCTCCCCTTCCTAGTCACCCCCAGTGCCCCTGCGCCCTCCTCCTGGAGGATCAGCCCCACCAGCCCTGCTCCCCTGCATCTCAGGCCCCCACCCCTCACCTTGGGTCCTGAGCAATGCGGGAAATGGAGGCCAGGAGGCTGGCTGTGGCTGCAGCTGGGCAGGGGGCTGTGGGGCTCAGGTCCCGCGGAGGCAAGAGGGGGTGCACCAAGAGGTTGGCTAGGAAGGCCTCCGGCTGGGAGCAAGACAAGACGGGTCAGAAGAGAGGACAGAAGGGCAGCGGGGAGGTCTAAGGAAAGCAGGAGAGCAGGCTGGATGAGTGAGCAGGTTAATACAAAAGGGGAGGGGAAAAAGGAGGCACGGTGAGGGCAGAAGAGCAGGCCAGGCTGTGACTCACCAGAGGTGAGGAGGAGTCGCTGAGCACCCCAGGGGTGGGGGGGCTGCGAACCGAGGTGGCACCCCAGGAGGCTGCATCTTGTTGTACCCGGCCTCGAAGGTGCCCCAGGAACTTGGAGCTGTGCCCTGGGGGGCGCCATTGCGGATGTACCAGGGAGAACCTCATCAAGGACAGCTCAGTCTTTCCATCCTCTGCACGCTGAGACAGCGAGGCCTCTGTCTGTCCGGCCGAGAGCCACTGAGAGCAAGGACAGTCCTTCAGGTGCTGTGGACACTGCTTTTACAGCTGAGTGGGAGCCTCATCGTGTAGGTGGGAGAGGAAACACTAGGCCCATTTTCCAGGTGAAAGAATGGAGGCCACATGAGGCCTTGCTCAAGATCACCCAAAATACAGAAGCAGGGGAGGACTAGAGTCCAGACCCAGCACTGGGATACGGTGAGGGCTCGGTGTTTGACCCTATGCACACCAGATCCCAGGGCTGGCCTGACTCCAGCCCCATCCACTCACCAGCTGGTTTTCAGCCTCTCTGGTGGTCATCACCCCCATTTACTGGCGTTAAGGTGTGCCAGGAACTCTGTTAGGGTTCTACACACATCATCTCATGTCATCCTCACAACAGCCCAGCTCATTGGCCATGGTCACTGTCCTCATTTAACAGATGAAGACACTAGGGCACAAGGAAGTGGAGTGACTAGCTCAAGGTCACAGGTGGCAAGCGATGGAGCAGTGGGTAGAACCCAGCTCTGCTCTGAGTGAGGCAAACCCCTACCTAACCACAAGCGCACAGCCAGGGAAGGGCTCTGACCTGAGGGTGGCCATGACGTTTCACATCCATAAGGGCAAAGGAACAGATGTCACCAACCCCAGCCACATCCACAGTGAAGTGATGAAAAAAGTCAACAATCTCCAGGGCACGTGGGCGAAACCAGAAGAGCAGAAACATGGGGGTGAGGAGAGGGGACAGGAGCTCCTCCAGGAGGGAGACCTGGGGAAGCCGGGGTAGGGGGGCAAAGGGATTGCTGAAGGGGCCACTCGTGACAGGACCAAGAGGGCCCCAGGGACGCTCGCCAGGGAAGGAAACCTCCAGCCCAGTCACTCCCCGGCTCACGGGATAGCCAGGCCCGAGCTGGTTTGTGTCACGCCCTCTCCCAGAGTGGCCTCCGCAGCCCCCTTCGGGCCCTCACCGCTCGGTATTGCAACAGCCGCGCCATCTGCCGGTAAGCGCTGACCCTGCCGGCAGGGCCGGGCTCCTCTGGAAGGTAATGCATGTGGGCCAAAGCCGCCTGCAGCAGGAGCTGTGGGGAACGACCCTGGCACTGCTCTTCTGGAATGAAAGACCTAGAGGGCGGGATCGGAGTAGAGAAGGGTCCTGCGTTTAGTAGGATGTGCGCGCGGATGGGAGGCAGGGCTGGGGGACGCCGGCGGTGGGAGGGGAAGTGATTCGAGAGCAGCCCAGCCCCAGGTCGGAGGAATGTCCCCCTCCAGGGCATCTCCCGTAGCATGCACCTGGCCACGGTAGCGGTGACCCCGAGCACGGTCATAGCGGTGAGCACATGCTCCACGGCGAGGACGTCCTCGTCGTAGACGGTGAGCACGAGGAGAGCAGCGAAGAGCGCGCCGGCGAAGAAGACGAGCTGGCGGGCCAGCAGAGCGAGCAGGGGCGCCGGGGGTGCGGCGGCGCGCAGGAAGGCGGCGGCGGGGCGGTAGGCGCGGGCCAAGCGCGCGCACAGCTCGTGCGGCAGCTCGTTGAAGTGGCGCAGCTGCAGGCGGGCCAGGCGGGACCAGCGGCGCGCCCCCAGCGCGCCCGGCTCGCGCCGCAGCAGCTCCACGTGGCTGTAGAAGGCGTGCAGCACCTGCCAGGCCAGCACCAGCGGGCTCAGCGCGAGGTTCACGGCGGCCAGTAGCAGCACCGTGCGCCGCCAGCGCGCCGCCAGGGCGCCCCGCTGGTCGCTGCGCTTGTAGGCATCGGGCAGCTCCCAGCCCCCGCGGAAGAGGGAGAAGGGCCCGCGGAAGAGGAGCAGGTCGACGTTGAACGCCAGGCCGCGGCTGAGGAAGGCCGCACTGCCTCCCCAGGGCAGCGCGCAGCGGGCCGGCAGCAGGCCCTTGTTGGCCAGCGCCACCTGGTAGTTGGTGTAGCGCAGGATGCGGTGGTGGACGTCCAGCTCGGTCAGCGGCCGCGGCTGCACGCACAGCCCCCCGCTCCTCTGCAGCGCCAGGAGGCGGGACTGCACCTCCGCCCAGGGCACCGAGCTGAGCTCCTCCTGCCGAGAGGGGGTGGGTGAGCACCAGCGACCTGGATTCCTCTGCACGGTGATGCCGAAACTCACGAGGACCAGAGCTACATCCCTCAGCGCCCCCTCCCCGCTTCCTCACCCAGTGTCCCCAGGCATGAAACCTGCCATCTTTCGCTGCCTGCCCTCTCTTGCCCTCCCCTAACTTTGTCACTAACAAGGGGCACTTCCTACTTCCTTTCATCCTCTTTTGAATTGTATTCCTCATGTCCCCGGCACTGCTGAGGCCCTGAGTCATGTGCTTCCCAGCGACACCTCATAAGTTAAACTCTTCAGGTATTTGATGTCGGCTCTGGGGGAGCAGATTTGCCTGAGCCTCCCACAGCCCTGCACAGAGAAGACACTTAACGGCCCAGGGAATGGGAACCTCTCTTTGCCGGCCTGAGGGTGCAGCCAAGGTGGGCCGAGAAGCCTCACCACCTTTTGCCTCAGCATTCTTTGAGACCGCCAGCCCCATCCCACTCCATCACCAGATTGACTTTCCTAAGACACACACTGTGTCCACATCTGGGGTGGGGCACAGTCAGAGCTCATTTGGATATCGTCTGCAAACCTCATTTGAGCCCAGTTTCACCCAGCTCCCCCAATCCAGCTTAGTGAAGTCCCTCCAGGCCAGCATCTCCAGTCCAGCCCAGGGTCTCCCCTTCCCCTGGAAGGAAGAGAGGAGGAGGCAAAGAGAGGAGACAGAGAAAGAGGAGAGCCAGCAGCCTCCCAGAGGAGCAGTGGTCCAGCTCCTCCCTGCACTATGCCTTGTGCTCCCCTACTCAACGGGGCTTTCTAGAACCTCTCCCCTTTGCTGTGCAGGAGAGCTGTGCAGAAGGCTCTGGACTTCTGGACAGAGCAAGGGAAGCTGGCTGCAGAAGGTGGCCCTTGAGCTGTGCCTTAAAGAGAGAATTTAGGAACAGAGCAAGGAGCAGGAGCAAGACAGGGAGGAAAGGGCAATGCATGACAGAGACAGTGAAGGGACCCACGCAGCAGCTTACTGCAAGAGGGGGCGAGGCCAGGAAGTGGGGTGGGATCACCCACCAGTGCCTGAACACTCAGCTGCAGGCTGCCAGGCCAATCTCACTGCTGCCCACCGAGGCTCATTGCTTCCTCCCTTCCTGCATCGGGGCTTGGAATGCCTCCCCACCTCCCTCCTTCTCAGCATCCCCCCAATTTCTCCTGCTCTGTAAAGCCAGATGACTGCCCTCCCTCTAAATACCCACTCTTTGGTCCACAGTCTGTGACTGTAAATCATCTCCCACCACCTCTCTCAATCCATTAAGCCCCGCTAGGTAAGGACCATGTTTTATAAGTGGTGGAACTCCACCTCCTAACATTATTCAGGGCCTAAGGTGGGTGTCAGTGAGGCCTTCTGCCCTCTTCCAGTGGGTCCTTCTGTCTCTAAAGCCCTTATTCCTCTTCTGTCCTCTGCCCCCCGACACAGCACCCCTCCACATACATGCCCACCCAGCTCACCGGTGGGATGTGTAGGGCCTCCCTGTAAAACACCTGGATGTCCCAGTAGCTGAAGAGGTTGCAGACTGAGCGAAGCAGCTGGAACAGCCAGAAGGCAGCAGCCAGGATCAGAAGGAAGACCAGCAGGGGACTGGAGCGGATCCTGTGTTGGGCAGGACAGAGAGCAGAGAGAAAGTGGGGGCCCAATAGAGAGGGAGACCAGACTTGGGGAGTGATGGTAAAGCTATGGAGAGAGAGATCCCGCCGTTCTCAAAGCATGGGCCCTGGGGTCCCTGAGACCCTTGCAAGTGTCTGAAAACTTTTTTCAGATACTAAGGTTTTCTGCCATTTTCATTCTCATTTTCTCACAAGTGTACAGTGGAGTTTTCCAGAGGCTGCGAGACATCACATTGACAGCTGATACAATGTGTGCTTGGGCACACTCATGTTTTAAAGCATTCTCAGCTTTAATCTCTAATACGGCAAATATAGAGAGATACAGTTTCCTCAACAAAAGCTCTCAGGCATGCTCAATCAACTTTAAGCGTATTAAAGGTGTCCTAAGACCAAAAATTTGGAGAACCTCTGATCTAGACCATGGGACAAGGGGGAGGAGGGCTCTTGTCTGCTCATCCCCCCACCCCCCCACCGGCTGTCACTCACCGCTGGGCACACTGAGCTGAGGGTAGGATGGCATCCGACAAGGTTACTTTGCTGTGGAGCAGCCCAGGTCTTGTCCGGTTATTTGGTTGGTTGGCAAAGAGAATATTGTAATCCACACAGCGAAGGAGGAAGGTGGTGAAGGTGACAATGAAAACAAATTGTCTGGGGGGCGCAGGGGGTGCAGTGATCAGACCTGAGGGCCAGGCAAGGTCCTGCCCCACCCTCCAGACCAGCCCAGTTATCCTCCCCACCCCCGCCAAGCCCCTAGGCTGCTTGTGGAGGCGCTGGGTGGAGCAGCAGGCACTACTAAGGAAGCAAGAGGAAGAGTTTGGGGTCCAGGACAAGCATCTCACCCCAGCTGGAAGACATCCTCCAGCAGGATGCAGGCAAAGCCATTCCTCTGGTGGTAGCTGTAGATGTGGCAGTGTGTCAAGAAATAAGCCTGAGGCAAGAGGGACCTTCCAGAGGACGCTCCCATCACTCCCCCAACAAGGCCTCCAACCCACTGCACCCTCAGTCTCCCTGCCAAGAACCATGCCAGCCCCGAGGGGCCCTCCCATGCCACCACTGCCAGGCCAAGCACAAAGGATATCTTGGTGAAGAAGCTGTCCAGGTTCTGGATGTGGTGCCAGGAGCCTGGACACAGAGGGGAGAGCATTGGGAATTGCTCTCACCTGAGTGATAGCTCTCCACGCCCTCAACCAGCTGCCAGAGACCCAGCCTGGAGGAAGCCCTGGAGCCCCCAGGTCCTCCCCAACCCACTCCCTCCACAGCCCCACCCTCACAGCCTCACCTCGGAGCCCTTCAGGCACATGAAGCAGGGGCTGCTGCTCCTCCCCATGGAGGGGTGAATGTTGGGACCCCTCAGGGTCACAGTCCTCCAGCCGCTCATAATCCTGCTCTGGGATCAGAGGGCCTATCCGCAGCCCAGGAGGATCCTGGGGGCATCGGCATGTGGGAGGGGGAGTCACCGAGGCCAGGGGTGGAGTGGAGTGGGAACCCCAGGATTGGGGAGCAGAGATGGGTATCATCGCAGGCCGTGCCTGTGTTGGGGGGGTGGCTGGGGTGGGGAGGGCACTGTGGCGAGGCTGAGAGGTCCCTGGGGCCTGCACCACTGGGCAGGGGGGCCCCAGGGCCAGAGGGGGAGCTGAGGAAGTAGAGCTTCTTGTGTGAGGGGCAGGGGACAGAGAGAAGATGGAGACCCTCCCTCCCCCAGGCCCCCGACACAGAGGGGGAGGAAGAGGAGGCAGTGGCGTAGGGAGGAGGGGCACTGATCCAGGCCCCAGGTCTCCCCACCGCCCCCGCTGCCTCCTGCTCCCCCCCCAACCCGTTCGCCTCACCATCAGGCCGGCGCCTTCTTCTGAAAGCTTGGAAGGATGGGAGCTGCTGTTGTTTCCACGGAGGTCTGGGTTGCTGAGCAGGGACTTCAACAAGGATGGTGACAACAACAGCACGGTGACTCAGTTGGGGCAGGCCTCAGGCGTCCCAGCTCACAGTCACCTGTCCGACCAGACCACTCACACCCCTTCTAGGGCAACCTGTGGCCCAACCTCTCGGGGGCCCCGCCTCCATGCCTGGGAGGGGTGAAGGGTGGAGAGGCAGGAGCTGAAGGGCAGCAGAGCAGAGGAGACATCTATTGTCCCATCTTCAACCCTGAGTGGATTTAAAGGGGATGCCAGAGAGGAGCAGCCAAAATAGCAAAAGCAAAAAGAAAATCCTAGCAAAGGATTATAGGACTATGGGGCCAAGATGTTAAATCTGATTTCTCAAAATCTTGTCTCCCCCTCCTACACACACAGTGATCAACAGAGAAATGCTTTAAAACCAAACCAAAAAGAAAAGACTGCACGTTGTGTTTGTCTGATGGTACGAAGGAAGGGAACAAGGGAGACTGCCTGACTTTGCAACCAGGTTGAGGGAAACTGAGGCGAGAAAAGAAGTGAAGAAAGGGGAGGCAGCTCTCTTGGATGTGAGAAGTGGTTTTTGGTGCTTACGGTAGAAAAGTAGGGTTCCTTGGAAGTTCCACTAAGTTTACTTCTCTGTCCCCTTGAACCCTGAAACCTTCTGCCCCGAGTCCTGATCCAGTTTCTGGGGCTCTCTGAGAAGCATCAGGGCTGACCCAGCAGAGGGGTGGGGGGTCCAGAATGTGGAAGGAGAACTTGGGTACCCAGGGATGAGCTGAGTTGAGTTCCTTGTTGCTGTCTCCACAAGTAGGAAGAAGAGAAGGAGGCGGCCCAGGCAGCTGGTTTGTTGGCTTGTCCAACGCCATTCTTGAGGCCCTGAATCACCAGGTTTCCTACTGAAGCCTATTCCTGAGGTGCTGACTCAGCCACCCAGGTGTCCGGGCCCCCAGGGCTTAAGCCCAAGGGCTGATGTAGGGGCCAGTATCCATGAAACAGAGAGAAGAGCAGAGTGCTTCCCAGATTTCCACTGGAGGAATGTGGAGGCAATCATGGGATTGTCCACACAGTTTAGTCGTGGCTGATTTTCTGCTGTGCCTCCTTCCTGGGAGGAGAATTTTCATAGTAACTCACGACTTGCAGTTTTATCCCTGAGCAGGAGACAGAGCTGAAACAAGACTCACCCCTTCTAGAAGTGGCATCCTAGTGCCTAAAATGGAATCCCGCATTGCAGAGGGGCTAAGAAATTCCCATGATCTCTCTGAGACATCTGTCAAGATAGGTAATGTGGAGTTTCGCCTGGTCTTTCCCCAACCTCACTCTATTCCACCATACTCATATTAGCACCCCTCCCATACACCTTCCCCATACACCCAGCCCAACCTCAAACTAATTCTGGCACATTTTCCACCCCAGATTGATTGACCACCTTCCTATCACCACCCCCAATTCAAGTCAACTTGTTATGAAGGGCACTTTTCCCTGCCTGGCATTTGAAGGAGAAGGGGGGACGGACGAATGAGACAGAGCCACTACCCAAAAAGAAGTCACAGCCCACTGGGGGAGGTAGCTGTGCAAACCATTACACGAAAGAAAGAAAGAAGCGCTAAGCAGAGGTGCAAGAGGTGTGCGGTGGGAGCCTTAAGCAAGTCAGCCTGACTGCAGAGAGGAAGGCATCCGGAAGAGATGGATCTGAGGTCGCGCGTTGACAAGTTACAGGACCTCCATACCAGTGGTTCTCAATCGTTGAGTAGGGGGAATTTATCAGAAGCACCAGGAGAGTTTTTTCCCAAACACACGTGGCTGCCGTCTCCGGAGCGCTGACCTGCCCGCGAGAGTGGAGTGGGTGGCAAGGCAGATTCACGTGTTTTGAAAAAAACTCGCCGGCTGATTTTTGTCCCTGCGCCCCCCAGAACCAGCGCTCTACACTCCCTGGAGACCCCGAGACATTTAGAGTCCGCCGGGAGCACCCATAGGAGAGTGGTCCCGAGATTAGCGACTGACGCGTTACTACGGATACCCCGGGGTAGAGGGCGCACCCTGCACACCCTCAAAACTCCTCCCCGGAGCTGACCCGGCCTACGGGCGGGGAGTAGTGCCCCATCCTGCTCCGCCCCGCCCAGAGCTGGGGGGCGGGAAGGCAAGCGGTCTTCTCCAATCACAGTTCCGGAAGGAGGAGGGCTGACAAGGTTTTCTCCAAACGAAGCATGGAACAAGATTGATGCATCTTTCCGCCAATTATCGCCGAGGCGCGAGGGGGTTGCCGGGATGGGGGTCGGAGCCAACATGGAGCCCTCAATGGGGTGAGGGTGAAACTGCCATTGCTGGTGGCTCCTGTTCTCCCGCCCCATCATGTTGGTGCACTTATTTCGGGTTGGGATTCGGGGCGGCCCTGTCCCAGGCAGGCCGCTACTACCCTTCTGCTTCCAGACATTCTCGGCCGTCAGGTAAAAAGGGACAAACCTACGGGGAGCGCGGGCCATTGACCGCTCAGCAGGGCGTGGGGCCCGCCGGGAGATGTAGTCCCCCGCTCGCGCGAGGCCTCCTGGGAGTTGTAGGCCCGCCCGGCCCGGGATGGAATGTCACTCCCCGGCAGACTGGCTTCAATTATTTATAGCGACGACCCAGGTGCGATCTGGAGGTTCCGCGCGTCTGCATCCTCGTGTGGGCTGGACAGAGGGAGCGTTCTGGGTCGGTGACCACGCCCGGCTTGTCCTCCCCACCAGGGGGCGCCGTGCTGCAAAGCCCTCGGTCGCCGTTCGAGGCCCCCAACCTCCTTGGAATTGATTTGGCGATTTGGACAAAAATGTTTCTGAACACGAATAATTTATTATTGGTGGTGCTCCCAAGATTCAAAGTGAGCTGAACAAAAGTGGTGCCTAGATCTGGATACTTTCAGCAGAGATAAAGAGTCAATCTAGTAATGCTTCGTGTGAGTTCTTGTGTGTTCGCGCTGCACACGTTGGTCCGAAGGGAGAGAGACGGGTGGGAAACGAACAAGGCCCCTGAAACTGCGACTCCAGTGTAAATGCTTTATGAAAAGGGACTGATTCCCTTTTAATCCTGGACTGAATAATCTGAGGGCCAGGCAGGCAGCAGATTCACAGGGGCGGGTGGGTGTGGACTTGTGTCTTTGGAAAGCCGGTCTGATTGATCGAGGGCAAGAGCTGGGCCGGGCTGGAGCTAGAAGTCCCAGTGCTGGGAATTAATCCGCCAGTTCTTGGCAATAACCAACCCCTGCGTAAAGTCTTAGTTGGACAAGATGAGAGAAGCTGGAAAGCGGCCATGGTAAATTATTAAAAGGTTTAAAAACAGTCCTTCAAAAAAGAGCAAGGGTATTGATATTATTTAAACCGCAGAGAAACCCAGGGAAAGACATCAAATGATGTTCAAGTATTTGTGCGTTAATTAGTGTAGTGTCTTTCACACATGCAAGTCACAACACAATAGATCCTAAAATGAACTTAGTGGGTCCGGACCTTAAAAGTGCGTGTAACAGAATACATGTTAAAAAATTAGGGAAAGTATTGTTATGTGAAGCATTTCAATTTTGTGTGACATATACATTCATTGTACTAGGTCACGATGTAAACTGTATTTTTTAACCTTGGCCTCAGTAACTCTAAAACTTTGCAAAGTCTACAGTAAGGGGTCTGGCCAGATTGTTCTGCATTTCTCATGCGGGTATGCACTCAACAGCCAAGCATTTGCTGTATGTCTGTTATGTACCAGCACTCAGCTAAGTGGTGGGGACATGGTGAATAAGGTGGAGCTTCCTCCCCCAAGGAACCTAGAGTCCAATGGGAAATTGGACAGTTACGCGGGGCAGAAAGAGGATGAGTTTCTCTGTCCAAAATTTAGGATAGATGTAAAGTACACAGTGGAAAACAAGACATAAAAACCAGGCAGGTGGAATGGGCTGGGGGAAGGCCTAACACAGGGGTGGCAAGAAGCCTGGCGTCCCTGAAACAAGAGACGGATGAGATGAGGTCCGCTGTTAGGGTCTGGGAATGTGAAAGACCAGCGTAGTCAAGGAAAAGCCTCTCGCTCTACTGTTTTTTTAAAGCCTTTTCCCATCAGTAGTCTCATTTGGATCTTTGGCATCCCATCATATACTCTGGGCCAGACAACTTCTGCTTCTAGCAGGCCTCCCTCGAGCCAGTCCTGTCATCCCCAGCCAGTCCCCTCTGCTATGATCTTTAAAATGCAAATCTGATTGTCACACCCCAGTCTAAAAACCATGAATATTCCTGTTGCCTTCTTTTTTTTTTTTTTTTGAGGAAGGTTAGCCCTGAGCTAACTACTGCCAATCCTCCTCTTTTTGCTGAGGAAGACTGGCCCTGAGCTAACATCCATGCCCATCTTCCTCTACTTTTATATGTGGGACGCCTACCACAGCATGGTGTGCCAAGTGGTGCCGTGTCCACACCTGGGATCCAAACCGGCGAATCCCGGGCTCCCAAGAAGCAGAATGTGCGAACTTAACCGCTGCGCCACTGGGCCGGCCCCGGTCCTATTGCCTTCTAAAGTCCTGGCATTTTATGAGGACTGTAATGCCTGCCCCTGCCCCTGGGCCTCATGTCCCCTCTCCCTTCTGTGTGCCAGGCTTCAGCTCTTCTGTTCCTGACACTTTCTCATTCTTCCCTGCAGGCACTCCAGCATGCCTCCCCTCTGCCCAGAGCTCTTCCCCACTTTATCTCTGCCACCTTCACTTGGCCAGCTCCTTCCTTTCGCCCTCAGGTCTCGTCAGAAAGGCCTTTCCTGCCTCCCTCAGACAGGAAGAGTGCCCTGTGGTTGGTTCCCTTGTCTCTGCACTCGGCAAGCTTTTGTTAGCTGTTTATCCACCCACTAAAGCGTAACCACAATGCGGGTAGTTACTGGGTCTGTCTCATTTGCCTCCTGTTCCCCAGGCCTCATAGCCGAGCCCTGGCGCATAGTAGGCATGCAAACTTGCATTGCCATCTATAGATATGGAAACTGCAGGAAGGAGAATGTGACCTTGGCCTATCCGAGCTGACAAGATATGCTGTTTGGGTTGTTTTTTTTTTTCCTTTTTCTCCCCAAAGCCCCCCAGTACATAGTTGTATATTCTTCGTTGTGGGTCCTTCTAGTTGTGGCATGTGGGACGCATGAGCAGTGCATGTCCGCGCCCAGGATTCGAACCAACGAAACACTGGGCCGCCTGCAGCAAAGCGCGTGAACTTAACCACTCAGCCATGGGGCCAGCCACATCTGTTTGGGTTTTTATTTCTTTTTTTCCTTCAGCTGATGGAGAGGGAGTGTGTTGCCCTCCCCTCTATATGTTGTCACTTAAGCACTCGAGGCCTGGGAGGAGCCAGGGGGATGGGGTGCCATAAGCATTGCCCACTGGTCAGAAGACTTGCTCCAGTCCTGGCCCTGCCACACGTAGCCTTGGCACACATGGCAGACTAGGGCGAGCCTGGATTCTGGAATCAGACAGCAGATTTCCCCTCTTGTCCCAGTTCTGCTGCTTGGGGACAGATTATTTCTCAGCCCCACATGATTTTTTCATCTATCAAGTGAGAATAATGGCATCTGCCTCCCAGGGAGGCAAGGATTAAATGTGCTGGACTGTTACCTCAGTGAGGTGGGGGCCGTGGCCCAGCGCGGTGCCCTCTCTTACCTCTCTGAGCCATGTTCACCCAGGACCTCATCTGTAAAAGCCATGTCGGGGGCTAACTGCTGTCCAGAGTGCCCTCCAGCTCTGCTGTGCTGTGATCGCAAAGAGCAGGGGCCGGAGATGCACACTGACCCAGAGGTGCCTCCGGAGGCTGAGAGGCCCGCTGTCTGGGAGCCGGCAGCATGGGGAGAGCACTGTTGAGACGTGATTACAGGCTGTTGTCTCATTCCTCAGCTGCTTTGCCTGTGTATGTTTGTCTCAGAAACTGGGGTTGGGTAAGAACAGCCCTGAGAAAGGCGGTGTAGGGCCGCACGGAAGAGGAACGCTGCTCTCCAGAGGGCTCTGCCCGGAGCTCAGCTGTTCGTTGCTCAGTTGGTAGAAAGTCGGGGCCTTGAGCCATCAGTACTGTTCTCTCCCTGCAGGTGCCCAGAGGGCCACCACAGCTCCTGCCTCCTCAGGGCTGTGGCCCAGCTGCGCTCCCAGCTCCGGGCCCGCCTTCCGCGAGCGCCCCCAGCTCCCCACCGAAGCCCTTCCGCCTGGCGCTGGGTTGGGGGCATCCTCCTGGGCCCCGTGGTGCTGAGTAAGTGCCCCCGCCTCTGTCTTGTGGCGCTGTGTGAGGCAGAAGAGGCCCCTCCTGCCTGCTCCAGACCCTGTGTCACGGAGTCCCGCTTTAACTGGAAGCTCTTCTGGCAGTTTCTGCGTCCCCACCTGCTGGTCCTGGGGGTAGCCGTTGTGGTGAGATCTTCTCCTGCCTGCCCCGACCTCCCCCCCCCCACCCCCCCGCACACCAGGGACAGGGAATGATCCAGCCAGGGGATGCAGAAGCCCCAGCTGGAGGTGCATAGGGACAGCTTTCCTGCCTCACCGAGTCTCAGAGGAGACCTCTGGAAGCTGCAGGACTGGCTGGCTTAGGGACCAGGGGCCAAGGACCACCAGGAGAAGCTGCACAGGGTGGCGGGGGGTGTAGGGTGCAGGGGTCTCCAGGGGCTGGCTGCCTGGACTGAGAAGCACAGGAGCAGCCAAAGCATGGACAGCAGCGGGAGAGGAACGGCCAAGGTCGGCTGGGCATGGGGAAGACTGTGGCCCCACACTAAACGTCTGTTCCCAACCCCCCAGCTGGCACTAGGTGCGGCACTGGTGAACGTGCAGATCCCCCTGCTCTTGGGCCAGCTGGTGGAGATCGTGGCCAAGTACACGAGGGACCATGTGGGCAGCTTCCTGACTGAGTCCCGGAACCTCAGCACTCACCTGCTCATCCTCTACGGCATCCAGGTACAGCAGGAGGGAGGGCCTGGGGGCACAGAGAGGAGCCTCCTGGGCACCGCTGAGTGCTGGGCCTCTCCCTCAGGGACTGCTGACCTTCGGGTACCTGGTGCTGCTGTCCCGCATCGGCGAGCGCATGGCCGTGGACATGCGGAGGGCTCTCTTCAGCAACCTGCTCCGGTACCGCCAGCTACAGGGTGCAGGGTGCAGGGGGGTGACTGATGGGCCTCACGGGGTCCCGGGCAATGTCTAGGGCTGGGGCCTCATCCTGAAGTAATGTCTCCCTCTTTTCCCACCTGCTGCCCCTGTGTCCCACCACCAGACAAGACATTGCTTTCTTTGATGCTAAAAAAACAGGGCAACTGGTGAGCAGATTGACAACTGACGTGCAGGAATTTAAATCATCCTTCAAACTTGTCATCTCCCAGGTCAGTGCCCTAGGTCCCCCTGTACACACACACATGCACACACACACACAAACATGCTCCCCAGTGCAATACACCGGGCCAGCCCTGTCCCACCCTGCTGGAGGGCTCCAGCCTAGGCTCACACCGAAGTGAGAAGCCTGCTGTCCGGTGAGGGCATGGGTGAGGGAGCAGGGAAGCTCATGGAGGGGAGGTGCCATGGCGGCGTCCAAGGTCAGGACAGGCTGTTTCTCTCTTGTTCTGAAATCCTACCTCCCCGGAAAACCTTCCCAAGGACTCAGACAAGAGCCTTTCCTGGCACGGCTTGCCAAGAGCAAAATTCTTCGCGCCTGCCTTGCCCCCAGAATGCCTGGCGCACTGGCAAGAAGGAGCAGTGGCTTTTTGCTGTATTCTTGACATGCTCGCCTTGTGCACCCATCTGCTGGGTCATGCAGATGGTGGCCCATGGCAGTTCCTGGGCAGCACTGCCATGCAACTTGCTTTTTGTTCAGTTTCTAGAGCAGAAAGAAAGCAAACTTGGATTTGTCTAGGTGAAGGATGCTGTGGTCTGTAGACATTCTCTCCCAGCCCTTTCATGCCTGCTGGTCAAGAAAGGGTTATATACTGTGACCGGTGGACTGCCAGTTGGTCTCCCAGGGGTCAGACCTGTGGCCTAGGCCTTGTGAGTGTAGAATCGTGGCCAGCTGACCCTTGGTAAAGTCCCCAGGTCATGGTGCTGCTGCCAAACAGCCTTTCCCACTCTCCAGGGGCTGCGAAGCTGCACCCAGGTGGCTGGCTGCCTGGTGTCCCTGTCCATGCTGTCCACGCGCCTCACGCTGCTATTGATGGTGGCCACACCCGCCCTGATGGGAGTTGGCACCCTGATGGGCTCAGCTCTCCGAAAGTTGTCTCGTCAGTGTCAGGAGCAGGTACCAGAATTCCCACCTGTCCTCCTTAGCCTCCCCCTTCCTCTCTGCCCCACACTCTGCTGTCACTCCTCCCCATCTCCAACCTTGCTCCCTGTCCCCTGGATTCCCCGCAGATCGCCAGGGCAACGGGAGTAGCGGATGAGGCCCTGGGCAACGTTCGGACCGTGCGAGCCTTTGCCATGGAGCAGCGGGAGGAGGAGTGAGTCCTGGGCAGGGGTGGAGCACAAAGCGGGGGGTGAGGGGTTCCCCAAACTCACCCCCACCGGCCCTGCACCCCAGCCCAGCTGCTTCCTGAGGACTGGGCTTGGCCTCTGTCCCCAGACACTACGGAGCAGAGCTGGAGGTGTCCCGGTGTAAGGCAGAGGAGCTGGGCAGAGGCATCGCCTTGTTCCAAGGGCTGTCCAACATCGCCTTCAACTGTAAGTGAGCTGATCCCCGCCTGGGACACCCAGGTTGTGGCTGGGCTGAGCTTGGAGGAGCGAAGGACAGTCCCAGCAAGGCGGGCAAGGGGCAGCTCTCCACCTGCTTGACGTCCTTCAGACGTCTGTCAGGGCCAGACACCTGAGGCTGCTGGTGCCAGCGGGCAAGGGGAAAGTGGGCCTGATGTCACAACCGAGCTATGTGTAGAATGCTGCCGGGCCACCCTAGAGGAAGCCAAGGAGGTGTAACACTCGTTACCAAAGGGGGAAACAAAGGCAGGGACTTAGCAAAATTCCTCTCAGTTGGAGGCCAAGCAAGGACTGGAACTGGGGACTAAGACCTGGGCCAACTCTGTCCTCTGCTCCTAGCTGCTTCCATCCTAACCACTTGTCCCCTTCCCCATGCAGGCATGGTCCTGGGCACCCTGTTTATTGGGGGCTCCCTCGTGGCTGGACAGCAGCTGACGGGGGGAGACCTCATGTCCTTCTTGGTGGCTTCCCAGACAGTGCAGAGGTGAGTGTGGGACTGTTCCTGTTCCTAAGGAGCCCTGCTGGGTCAAGGGGCAGGGTGTGCTGCATAGCCCCAGGCCTGCCCAGCTGCCCCAGTGAAGCACAGGCCTGGGAGAGGGCTCCCCACGGCCTCCCCTCAGGCTCCCAGCAGCCCCTCCAACCTCATTCACTGACTCCACACTCAGAAATGCAGGAATCATCCTCAGACTTCCAAACAATTCAAGAGTTTCCTTGACAAGGTTGGTTTGTTTTCAATTGTGGTAAATACACATAACATAAAATTTGCCATCTTAACCATTTTCAAGTACACAGTTTAGTAGCATTATGTACACTCACATTGTTGTGCAGCCATTACCACCATCCATCTCCGGAACTTTTTTATCTTGCAAAACTGAAACTCTGTCCCCATTAGACACTAACCGCCGTCTCCCCTCCCCCAACCCCCAGCACCTCCATTCTACTTTCTGTCTCTGTGACTCTGCCGACTCTGGGGACCTCATATGAGTGGACTCACACAGTATTTGTCCTTTAGTGACTGGCTTATTTCACTTAGCAGAATGTCCTTCAGGTTCATCCATGTCGTAGCATATGACAGGATTTCCTTCCTTTTTAAGGCTGAGTAAGAGTCCACGTATGTCTAGACCATCTTTGACACGCTTTTCAAGAGCTGGCCTACCGGCCTCTGCCTGACTTCCCAGGATGAGAGGCTCCCCTGGGCCCCGCACGCCCCTCCCTCTAGCTCAGGTGGCGGGCTCCCCTCGCCTGCCTTCCAGGCTAAGCACTCGCAGTTCCTTCTGCTGTTTGTCTTCACTTTGTCCTCCCCGCTACACCATGTGTATCATAATACACACAAATACAAATACGTGAGGACAGATAACTGGAGTGAAGACCTGTGGTACCACCAACCACGTCAGCAAAATAGAACATCACTCAGACCCCTCTGTGTGCCTCCCCGTTGCTCCTGATCCTGACTGTCCTCGTGTGCTGGCTCTGGTTCGTGGCATGCCTGTGTGTCGCCCATTTAGAACAGAGTCCCCCACCCTTGGCCTTACTGTCCCGTGTAGGATGGAGCTAACCCCAGACAGGCAGGCAGGAGAGACTCCCTTTCTCCCTGAACCAAGCATTCCACAAAGACTGAATTCTGCCCATCTCTGCAGCCGCAGAGCCCCGTCCTCAGCCCCATTTCTGCTTGGAGCTCATTAGCCTGGGCCCGTTCTGACCTGCTCTGGTCCTGGATGGCCTCATCCCTCCTCCAGCCGGGAGCTGCTCCCTGGTGGCCTTGGGACTGAGGAGCTCTGACTGTTGTAGAGACGGGACTTGGGGCCTCCCCCTGCTGCCCTTCCCCCAGTGCTGACCCCAGGCCAAGCTTTGGCCTCTAATTTTAGTCCTGAGGACCTGTGTGAACCCCACTGGCTCCCTTCACACAGTCACCTCGAGGCCCTCCAAAGGGCAGTGGTGGGAAAGCCTCCCTCCCAGCACCTCCCAGGCCTGGCCCTCCTCCCTCAGACTCGCCTTCTCGTGGGCCCCCTCCCCTTTATGGCCCAAGTACAGACCCTGCCTTTCCTCCCCACTGCACTGCCTGGCCAGTTAGCAGAATTTTATGACAGACACAGACAGCCCAGGGCGTTCGTCTGTGCTGTCCTCTCACAGGCTGCTGGACAGGGCTGCTCTCACAGCCACAAGCCCAGCTTTTTGGGGGCCCCTCACCACATGGAGATTCTTCACCACCCACCTTGGAGGAACTGGGTCTTGTTTATTGAAGAAGCTGGTGTGTTTCCCCCTGGGGTCCTGCAGAGGAGGCAGGGAGGGGTGAGAGGTAGCCTTGCCCTGCCTTCAAGCAGCTTCAACCTTCAGACCCCATCCTCAGTGTCCTTCTTGGTGGCCCTGAGGCCCCAGAGGAGATGGAGAGGTGCCCAGACCACAGCCAGGGCCAGGCCGCCTCATCTGCATCCAGGTCTGGGCCCTCCTGGGAATGGGCTGCCCCCCGCCAGGCCTTGGAGAAGGCCAAGGCCTGCCCTCTGAGCCATCTCTGAGAGGAAGGTCATCGCACCCCGAGTCACGTGTGCCTGGTTTTCAGTTGCTACCCGGCACCTCTGCCAGGCCCTAATGGCTTCCAGATCTCTTGTGGAGAATGTTCTCCCTTCTCATCAACAGATAACTTGCTGTCCTGGCTCTTCCTTGCGTGATGCCTCCCCACTCCCTTTGGCAAGTGCTGATGGCTCTGAGCCTGCCAGAACCATTTCCCGCCGGCTTCTCTCTCCCTCCTTTCCCCCTCCTCCCCTCCCCTCCACCCCCCACCGGCCGCCCTGCTAGGGAATCAGTCTTTCCTCTTCTTCAAGAAAGACCTGCATAGACAATCACAGACGCACACACTGTCACGGGCCGGCCGGGCTGGTCAGGGGCTGGTGACTAAGAAGCAGTGACTCACCTTCCTCCCAGCAGCTGACAGCCCCACACGACAGAGGAGGTGACCCACTGTCTAGACAGACGCACGCTCGCACCATTCCTTACACAGGGAAAGCCCACAATAAATTGTCTCCTGGGGATTTTGTTTTAGGGTTCCCCCCGAGTCCCCATGTGGCCCACTGTCTTCTGTTTTCTTTCTCTGAAAGGATTCACATCCATCTTTCCACCTTAACTAGTCCTTGCTTCCCCCAGCAGTCAGTAGCGCTAGATCTGACCTCGCCTCGTGGGCCCCCCAACTCTGACCTCTGTTGACTGCGGTGGCGACATCCCTGCATGTGGGAGCCAGCCTCCGCCCTGCAGCTGCAGGCAGCGTGGAATCTGACCCCACTGAGCCCTGTGCCTGCTTTCCATGTCTGTCTCCCTGGAGCCCCCAGTTCGGAGGGAGCAGACAGCTGTCAGCCTCATCTGGCCACAGAGAGAATGCGACTCCAAAAGGAGAAGCAACTTGCCGGTGGTCTACCCAGTGCTGCTGGATCCCAGGGCTCCTGATCCCAGATTTCAGGAGTGTTCTCTGTGTGCAGCTCCAGGTCACCTGTTTCCCTGCCTCACCCAACATGCCCCCCATGCAGCTGAGACCCAGACCTTCCCTCTGGCACCATCTTCTCTCAGGCTCTTCTTGGCCCCACTCCTTCAGCCCTTCTCTCCTCCTCCTCGCAGGTCCATGGCCAACCTCTCTGTCCTGTTTGGTCAGGTGAGTGGCAGTTGGGGGTGGGTCCCGGGTTGTGAACACCGGATCTGGGCTGGAGTCCCATCAGCCACCGACATCACTTGTGTGCTTCAGACACTGGGTATCAGGTGGGGGGACACCACAAGCCCCTCCCCGTACCTGCCATGCAGGAGTCTGAGAGATGCTGCTGTGTTCCCACCCATTCCCTCGGCCCTACTCCCTTCTCACCACAGACTTGAAACCCCCTCCCCAGGTGGTGCGAGGACTCAGCGCAGGCACCCGGGTCTTTGAGTACATGACTCTAAGCCCGAGCATCCCGCTGTCCGGGGGCCACTGCGTCCCCAGGGAGCACCTGCGAGGGTCCATCACATTTCACAACGTCTGTTTCAGGTCAGCGTTAGTGGGTGGGCATGGGTAGTTCTCGGGTTGAGGATGGGAGGGGGCCCTGGCTGGGACCTCTGGGTCACTGCTTCCCCCTTTGGGGTACACTGAAACTTCAGGAGGGACCAGGGCAATGAGGGGCTGGGAACCTGGTCTGACTGGGGGTCTCTTGGCTCTTCCCAGTTATCCCTGCCGCCCCAGCTTCCAGGTGCTCAAAGACTTCACCCTCACGCTGCCCCCCGGCAAGATTGTGGCCCTTGTGGGCCAGTCTGGGGGAGGTAAGAGGAACCTGCCACCCTCCTGCCCTGTGACTTTCATTCCCGTGCTGGCCACTCGGAGTGGGTAGGAGGAGGGGTTGCTCTCTCCTGGCACAATCTCCAGAAACCCGTGCCCCGGCCCTGACTGCCCTGCCTCCCCAATTCCCCAGGAAAGACCACCGTGGCTTCTCTGCTTGAGCGCTTCTACGACCCCACAGCGGGCAAAGTGACGCTGGACGGGTGGGACCTGCGCACCCTGGACCCCTCGTGGCTCCGGGGCCAGGTCATCGGCTTCATCAGCCAGGTGTGGAGAGAAGAGGCCTGCCTCACGGCGGGGTCACCCAGGAAATGTGACTTTATCTTTCACCCCGCCACTCTCCCCTGCAGCCCTGCCTCTCTCTCAGTCTGCACGGCACCATCCCCGCATCATCCCCTGCTCTTGGGGGGCTTTGCCCTCCTTCAGTCTTCCCTGGCATTCACTGGGTCAGAGGCGCCCGCGTCCCCAGCCCCCGCGTCCCCAGCCCCTGCAGCTCTGCCCTCATACCCTCCAGGCACGACCTCTCCATTAAAGGGATCCAAGCAGGCCGGGTGGGATGGCCGCTTTAGGATCCCTGGGTGGGCTGACAAGAGGTCTCGAGACACCCAAGCAGTTTTGCTGGGGACTGCTGGTGGCCCACCCGCCCACTCAGGGAAGACTCGTGGCCCCTCCCTAGAGTGTTCAGTGCCACTGCTTTCCCTCTGCCTGAGGCGGCCCTGCCCAGTCAGGGTCATCTCCCCCTACCCCCAATGTGTGGATAAGAAGGGCTCCCTTACCCCACAAGGACTATCTGCCACCCCCTCCCTCCCCATCTCCCCAGAGATGGGGGGCTCTGCCCGCTGGCCTTGCTCTCTCAGCCACCTTCCCGCTCCTGCTGAGGGCTCCGTGCCCTGCGGGAGGCTCAGCCTCTCCCCCCTTGGATGGACCTCTCTGTCCTCATTCGACCTGTAACTTTGAACTGCCCCTGCCTGCCCTCCAAGGGGTCCCGGTCTGGCAGAAATAGCCTTTTCTGGCGTGCCTCGGGGTTCGGGGCAAAGTTAGAATGTTTCCTGTGCACGCCCCCACCCCCGCCCCAGGAGCCAGTCCTGTTCGGAACGACAATCATGGAGAACATCCGTTTTGGGAAGCTGGATGCCTCCGATGAAGAGGTTTATGCGGCTGCCCGGGAAGCCAATGCCCATGAGTTCATCGCCAGCTTCCCCGAGGGCTACAACACCATAGTCGGTGAGTTCCAGGGACGGCATCCTGTTAGGGGCTGCGGGGCCCACGGCCGGAGGCTGGGATCACGGAGGACAGGAACACAGGCATGGCCTCAGGGAAGACCCAACCAGAACCGTCTCCGAGAGGGACAGAGATGGTTCTGTGGGGACAGGGGAGTCCAGGCGCATGCGGTTCAGCTACAAGCAGGCTGCGAGACAATCTGACAGGGAACGCAATTACAGGACCCAGCCAGGGACACACGTGAGCTGTGGTGCTGGGACTCTCTAGAGCTTACCAGGGGCCTCCGTGTCCCAAGACCCGACCAGAAGCAATGGGGTGTTCTCTCCTCGTGGTCGTTTATCCTTCTGGCTCCTATCTTTTTGTTCTTTAATGTAAAGGTGGTTCCTGTCTTGTTATCCAGTGGGATTGATTTGATTGAGCAAGTCTCCCTTCTGACTTACCCAGGAGAGGGCTCTGGTGGTTCTGGAACATTGAAATCTTGTAGCATCGCACTAGAGTATTCAATTGCAGTTTGCAACTTTGTGTGTTTATCTCAGAGGTCTTTTGTCCAACCTTTGGGGCCATGTTATCGTCCAGAGTCTCTTGGCTCTTTTGCAGAATGTTCCAGCACATCTCAAGGTGCAGGCATATCTGGGGTTCTCAACTCTTCTTGAAACTTAGGCCTCAGTCTAGCTGGGCTGCCTTCCCCGTGGTGCTCCCACTGTCTTGAGCCACCCTTCGCTTTCTGTTACTGATGTAGCTGCTCTTCCCACTGCTCAGATTACACGCCCCCTGACCGGAGGAGCCGTGCCCACACCTCTCAGGTGGCACTTCCCTTGTCCCTCTGACCCCAGCTCGCTCCCAGGCTTCTCTGGGGCTTTACAGCCCTCACTGCTCTGGGACTGCTGTCACTTTGAGGCTCTTTCAGGCTCCCAGGCCTCCACCTCTGCTGTCCTCTGTGGGCATTTTAGATCCCAAGTGTGGTTTCCCCAGAATGCCCGGGCAGTGGGCTTCGAATCCCACCATGCCGTCACCAAACTCCAGGAGCCCACTTCTGGGTCCTGGATGTCCCCACAGCAGCAGAGACGTGGGAGCCCAGGAGAAGGGGGCTAGAGCTGCAAGGCCAGGGCAGGGATAGGGCCCTTCATGGCTCTGAGACCCTGCTGGGCTGCGGGAGGGGCACTTGGTGACTCCTCCAGGGTGCAGTGAGCCCCACCATGTGCACGACTCCTGTCATCTCGGGTAAGTGTGCACACCTTTGCACAGGAATGTAGGGTCAAGATGCTGATAGGCGTCACCCCTGCCCTGAGAGAGGCAGGACAGATGGGCACAGTGCTGGGGAGGACCCCGCGGGGCCAGATGGGAAGTTCCCAACAGCCCTGGTGCCCCTTTGCGGGGCCGCCCCCGAGTGCAGAGCTGAGGATCGCTTCAGGCCCCTGCCCTGTCCCCCTTCCCAGGTGAGCGGGGTGCGACCCTGTCTGGTGGTCAGAAGCAGCGCCTGGCCATCGCCCGCGCCCTCATCAAGCAGCCCACGGTGCTGATCCTGGATGAGGCAACCAGCGCACTGGACTCAGAGTCTGAGCGGGTTGTGCAGGAGGCCCTGGACCGTGCCAGTGCTGGCCGCACTGTCCTGGTCATCGCCCACCGGCTCAGCACTGTACGTGGGGCCCACCGCATCGTCGTCATGGCCCACGGCCGTGTCTGTGAGGTCAGCAGGGGCCCGGGGAGCAGGTTGATGGGTTGGTTCAGCTTCAGCCATGGACACAGTGGAAGGAGTGGCTCAGCTGAGCTGTGTGAGGGTCTGGCCTGGCCCTGGGGGCTTGGGGCCATATTCTGGACGGAGCGCCCCATGTTGATTCAGGAGTTTCTGCCCTTAGATGACCCCTGGCCTTTCGGAGCTCCAGTTTCTGCCTCTGTGCCTGGGGGTAGTAGAGTTGCACCCAGGATCAAAGGGAGGTGTACTCGGAGAAGTGTACAGTGCTGGGGGCGGGGGCTGGGGTGCAGAAGAGGCAACACCAGGGGCCCTGATCAGGGACCTGCCAGGAGCAGCACCCCAGAGACTGGGTCTGCAGTAGGGCTGGGAGGCTGCGTGGGGCCGGCTGCCAGCCCCCCAGCCGCTTGTTCAAGCCAAAGCTGAGAGGGTCTGAGGGGCAGTAGGCCCTGAGCTGGACTCTGTGGGCTCTGTAAGGGAAACAGCAGGACACAGATGCTCGTCCAAAATACAGCTAAGCAGGGAGTTGGCACTTACAAATACAGGTGTGCCAGTGGCGATATGTAATCAGTTGTGCTTTGGTTTCAGTGTCTGGGACATTGGCTTAGGTGATGGTGAACCCAGTGACTGATAAGAAGCAGGCCTTCCTAGAGCTCTGAACTCTGAGCTGCGTTGGGGTAACCATCTGCCTCTCCGTCTCCTCTCCAGGTGGGGACCCACGAAGAGCTCCTGAAGAAAGGTGGGCTCTATGCAGAGCTCATCCGGAGACAGGCCCTGGATACCCCACCTCCTGAGACGCCCAGTGGCCCCAGGAACCGCCACCCCAAGTCCTGATTATGGCCTTCTAAGGTCTGGTCGCTGCTGAGCATCAGTGCCCAGGGCCTCGGCTTGGCTCGGGGGAGCTCGCAGGGACTGAGCTCCTGGGAGGGCCAGCATGCTGGGGTGTGGGCTGCTGCCACCGCTCCCCTGCTCACAATAAAACCCGGCTGAGCACAGGGCTGGGAGGAGGTTGGGAGGAGGCTGGGACCACTCCCATCCGCTCCCCATCCTGCCGCCAGGCCACCTCTCTCCTGCCAGAGCCACAGAGTTATTGGGCTACACAGGGCAAGAGCCAGAGTCCCTGGGCCCTGCTCTGCTCCCCGATTTTGTTCAGACTCTCCCCACCCCTCTCAGAAACCCTGCCGAGTCCCTCACTCCCCCTGACAGTCCCTCGCTACCCCTGACAGCCTAGGGGTGTCCAGGCCCCAGCTCCAGGGGATTTTACGAGTCAGGGTCTGCGAGGGGGTATGAGCATTCAGACTAGGTTCTTCCCCACACCTATGGCCAGGACCTTGCTTTCCTAGACCGACCCATGACACTGCTCCGTCCCCACTGCTTCTCTGGGCCCCGGGAGAAGGAGCCCACCCCTTGGGCCAACACCTTGAACCCACAGTCCCCATCCTCAGAACAACTTCCTTCTCCCTGCTTCATTAACACAGACCTTTTTCTAGATTTTGCCCTCCCCTCATCCAAATGCAACAGATGACACACACACGCAGACATGCGCGCTGGCTCTTGGGGAGGGGTAGGAGGGGCAGGCGCACTATGGACGGTCCCACGAGGAGCTCCCAGCTGGCCTGGCTGTCTAACCTCTGCCCTGGCACTGCATGCAAGTCTGTCACCAAGTGAGATTGTGGACAGCCCCATTTCTATGGGAGGACACTCAGCTGTGAAGGGGACAGAAGGAGCTGACACCCTAGATTCCAGCCACAGGGCACGTGGTGCCAACAGTCACCAAACACTAGGGGGCAGTTAATGCCAAGCCCCTCAGGCTGACACAATATGATACCAGTCTAAGAAGGAGTGGTCACTGCCAGACCAAGAGAAGGTGGGACTGGAGCCTCACCTTGAAAGAGGATGGGCCAACTGCCCACACGGCATGAGTCTGTGGCCCTACAGCTGTGAATGAGGTGGGGCTGGATTCCCTTCAGATTCTGCGGACCTGGGAGCAGCCAGGGTTTCCCACCAGCCCTCCTCATGGACTCCCAGAGCCAGCTGTCTCTCCTGCCCTGATTCTGCCCATGTCACTTCCCACTGGGAAACCTTACCCCACGGCCATGTCCAAGCTGAGGACTCCACTCAGCTCTGCTCCCTAGGGTGGGGAAGAGGGTTTGCCTGTGCCGGACCTTTGAGCCAGCCCAGCGTTTTGTATTTATCCTGTGGCACAGAAGGGTGGTGCTGTGTTTCAGGGGGGCAGCAGCCATGTGTTGGATGAGCAGAGCTGGCTGCCGCTGGAGGCCAGCCTGGAGGAGAGGTGTGAGTGCAGGAGCCAGGGGTGAAAGACCCCGCAGCCTCTGGGTGTGGTTTAGGGCAAACCGCCTGAAGTATCCCAGGGCCACAGCCACTCTTGTTTGATGCCCCACTTCCTGACTGCTCAGAGGTCACATTCCAGGGCAGCCACAGCCCAGGAAGCAGAGTGCGGCGGGCTGGCTCCGGGTTGCTTTGCCACTAAACACCCCCCTAGTGCATCCAAGAGCAGGCCTCAGCTCCCCAGCCAAGCCCACACTGGCCTGCCGGGCCCCACCCTCAAGGGAGAGCCTGCCAAGGCCAGCTCCGGCTCCACCAGCTCCAGCCCAGCCTCAGGCCGCCCAAGACATCTGACACCAGATTTGAGGTCTCTCCTTATCTCTTCAGGGTGGCCTCTCTGAATCCTGCCTCCCCACCCCAGGAAAGTAGTGAGACCCATGGCGAGCGCTGGGCAGGAAGGCCCTGCAGTGGGCTGCACACTGGCCATGGAGCCTTGACCTCAGCCCTGGCTCCCGCAGCTAGTCAAGGTAGATCGTAAGTCTGGCTGTGCTTCGTCTTGAAAGGTTGTTTTAAGAGTTTAAATGGGATAATCTGTGGGAGAGTACTCAAAACTCACAATGCTGCAGCCTCAGAAGGTGGTCATATCTGTGCAATAAACCCTGTTATCCACTCATTCTGCCCAAAATTTGTGTTCGTTTAGCACCTACCATGTACTGCCATGTCTGCAGTGGGGACGAGGACCTCCCTGCTATGAAGCCTCCAGTCTCGGCGGGACAGACAGATGGGCAGGCAATTGCAGCACCATGTGATATTCAGTTGGCGGACTATCTGCCACTCATGGCCAAGAGCCCAGCGTGAACCCAGAGGCCTCAAATGCTTTGTGGAAGGAGATAGAGTAGAAAAAAGTTTCAGTAAATTAAGGGAGATAAACGTGCTTTCTCTCAGGCTTACGGTGCAGCATCTCCCCATTCCCAGATACACAGAGGTCAGAGGAGCATTACACCAAAGGCAGAGCTTGACACAAGAATCAGGCCCAGACACGGTCCTGCATGCAGCGTGTCTGAGCTGGCTCCTGTGGCCCTAAGCTGCCCAGCCCTCCTGCTGCTGCTGCTTTTTCCCTGTGCCTTGGGTCCCCAAGACATCATCATCCCACTTCAGGCTGGCTGGCACTAGCCTTGCAGACCGCAGCTCTGCTTCAGCCACAGCAAGTCCCTACTCTGGCCCATTGTCTCGTTGGCCTGGATCATCTGAGGCATCTTCAGTCAAATGTGCTGGCTCTGCCCTCTCAGGACCAGTGTTGTCACACCATGCTATGTACTGTGGCCAGGGCACCCCAGCCAGTTCAGGGGGACAGCATTTCTTCCTTTAGAAAAGCCTCACACACAACAGGCAAACTCCTGTGTTAGTGATGGGAGTGCAAAATGGTGTAGCTCCCACGGCGGGGAATTTTGTCGTATTCGTCAGATTACCCACACAGTTGCCTCTTGACCTGTAGTTCTATTTCTGGGATTTTACATCTGTGCAATGGTACTGAGAACACTGTTGTTGGTAGTGGAAGACTGGAAACCCCCAGTGTTAGGGGCCTGGTTACAGGAACAATGGTGCATCCACATAATGGAATATTGTGCAGCCTTTTAAAGAGGTGGAAGTTTTCCAGGTACTGGATATCACATGGTCTCCAGAATATGTTGTTAATTGAAAAGATGTGAAACCACAGGGCACCCACATTACCTGGGAGGGTGGCACGTGTGCACCCATGTTACTTGGGACGGTGGCAGGTGAGCCCACAATCATTGTGGCAAAGGCCAACTTCCCAGACAGGAGGGGTGAATGCGGGGTGGTGGGAAAGGGCCTCTTGAGAGACAGACTACCCCTTGACACGGGACTAGAAGAGGCCCTGCCTATCCAGTGTAGGCCAGGACACGGGGGCTCTGAAAGAGGAAACTGCTGATGCCAAACTCCCCACCACTTTCCAGCTTGGTCAAGAGCCAACTCTGCTCTTTGTGAAAGAACAAATGATCCCGGGTAAGGTTCGTGGGAAGGGAGAAGAGAGGAGAGAGGGGCTAGGCCAAGGGTCAGCAACTGACCCTCAGGCTGGACATACAGTGGCTGCAGCTGGGAGCCTAGAGGGCCCCAAGGGCACCCCCAGCCCCAACTGTCTCTGGGCTCCCCTCAAGCCCTCCCCAGGATTGCTGTGGTTTCCTCCTGGCGCCTCTGGTCTCCACGGCCACAGGCCCACGCTGCACTAATGGCTCAGCCTGGGGCCCCAGGGACCTCCCCCGCCCCCCAGCCTGCTCTGCGGCCCCCTTGCCCCCTCACTGCTGAAACCCAATCCTCTGCGGCAGCTCAGGCTCGGCAGAGCAGCCTCCAGCAGAGCGGGCCTGCTTCCACAGCACCGCGCCACACCTGTCTTTGCTGCAGAGCCCCCAGCCCAGCGCTGAGCCCAGCAGAGCTACAGCCTGTTCCTGGAGAAGGTCAAGCTGGACCAGCTAGGCTGCCGCATGCAACCCCACCAGGCCAGTGCCTCCCCACCTCGGTCTGGACTCCTCTCCTCTGCCCTCTCCTCTCCTTGCCTCACCTGCACTGACCCCTGACTGGCCACCAGAATCCTCTCTCAGCCCCTCGGGGTCCTCGGACTGACCTTCTCTCTTCCTCTAAGCCTCTGCAGTCTGCTCACCAACCCCAGGCCTCTTAGTCCCCCCACCTCACGCTCCAGCCATGAAGCCCCCGTCAGGGCTGGAGGAGGCCCAGCGGCCGGCCTCGGACATCTGCGTGTTCGCCAGCAGCTGCACGCTGCACGGGCTGGGCCATGTCTTCGGCCCTGGGGGCCTGACCCCGCGCCGGGGGCTGTGGGCAGCAGCTGTGCTCCTGTCGCTGGCTGCCTTCCTCTACCAGGTGGCTGAGAGGGTGCGCTACTACGGGGAGTTTCACCACGAGACGGCCCTGGACGAGTGCGAAAGCCACCAGCTCACCTTCCCGGCGGTCACCCTGTGCAACATCAACCCGCTGCGCCGCTCGCGCCTCACACCCAACGACCTGCACTGGGCCGGGCCCACGCTGCTGGGCCTGGAGCCCGCCGAGCACGCAGCCTTCCTGCGTGCCCTGGGCCGGCCCCCCGCACCGCCCGGCTTCATGCCCAGTCCCACCTTCGACACGGCCCGACTCTACGCCCGGGCCGGGCACGCCCTTGAGGACATGCTGCTGGACTGCCGCTACCGCGGCCAACCGTGCGGGCCTGAGAACTTCACCTCGGTGAGACGACCACTCAACCAGTCCTGCCAGGGACCCAGGAGCGCCAGCCAGTCCCTGCCCAGGACCAGCAATCGCCAGCTTTGCCAGCCCAGGCTCCCCCAAAGCCAGGGAACCTTAACCCCTGTGCCCCGGGATCCTTTCTTTCCCAGCCAGACCATGGGCTCCTCACCCCACCAGCACCCTTCTGGTCAGCCCAAGAAGCTGTCCTCCTTGGGGCTCCCTCCCTGTCACTCAGCAGGACTGCAGTGGGCAAGGTCACGTCTCCCAGCATGGGCACTCACCAGGCTGGCCCTGGGCCCAAGGTCTGGTTGTGGAGACCCTGCTCCTGGGAGGTGAGGGGACTCTAGTGGGACTGTCTTAGGGCAGAAGATTCCTCTCTCTGGCAGTGGGAGGGGGCTTGTTTTCCCTCTGCCTCTTCAACATTCTGCCAGTCCTGGAGGAGGGCAACTGGGACCCACTTCCTTTTACACCAGTCCAAAGAAACATTTGCCCTGTAAGATGTGCCCTGGGCGGGGGCGGGGGTAACTGGAGTGATGGGAGCCAATGAGGGTCCAACTACATGTGCCTGGATGAGGGTGGGGCTGGGGGCATTGAGATGTGGGCTTCAGTGTTCAAAGAAGAGACCCAAAGAAAGGACGGGGAGGGGAGCAGTCCCATAGTCCTTGTGTTTGCTGGGGGAAAGGGCTGGCTGGGCTTTCTGTTCCCTGGTGAGGTTTGTCCTCTGTCACCCCTAGATCTTCACCCGGATGGGGCTGTGCTACACCTTTAACTCTGGCGCCAACGGGGCAGAACTTCTCACCACTCCCAAGGGTGGCATGGGCAACGGCCTGGAGGTCATGCTGGACGTGCAGCAGGATGAGTATCTGCCTGTGTGGAGGGACACGGGTATGCAAGCACGTGTCTGAGGTTGGGGGTGGTGCAGATGGGAAGGAGAGGAGGTGCAGGGAGGGCCCCAGAGCATGGGCTTTCTTGTGAGAAGAGCACGGGCTTGGCCCATCACAGTCCTAGGGATAGTGGGCTGCAGCAGGGGGTCTCCTGGGACCCAGGCCTCAGGCTTCAGGGTCCCGCTTCCCCTGCAGAGGAGACCCCATTTGAGGTGGGGATCCGCGTGCAGATCCACAGCCAGGAGGAGCCGCCCATCATCGACCAGCTGGGCTTTGGGGCTGCCCCAGGCTACCAGACTTTTGTGTCCTGCCAGAAGCAACAAGTATCCTCCTCTGGGCCTCCGAACCAGCCCCGTCGTCCCCCTCCCCGTCGTCCCTCCCCCCCCCCCAATCCTCTCTTTCAGCCCACACCACCTCCGACCCTACCCCTGGAACCTCAGACCAATCCCAGGGGCCTCTGCCCCACAGTGACCCTCGCGTTCTATCTACCTGGGTCTCACACTTCTCCCAGAAGCCTCCTTAACCAATCTCTCTACAGCTGAGCTTCCTGCCACCGCCCTGGGGCGACTGCAGCTCCGAAACTCTGGACCCCGACTTTGAGTCGGAACCCGCTGGTCCCCTGGATCCCCCCAGACCCAACCCAGGCCCCAGCCCTCCCTACAGTCTAATGGGGTGTCGCCTGGCCTGCGAGACCCGCTACGTGGCTCGGAAATGTGGCTGCCGAATGATGCATATGCCTGGTAAGGGGCTGGGAGAGCGGAGGAGGAGGGCGGCGGGAGGGAGGCACCGGGGTGGGTGGGTGCCTGGGGATCCTCTCCTGAAACGTTCTCCTCCCCCTACACCCCAGGCGGCGCGCCGGTGTGCAGCCCCCAGCAGTACAAGGACTGTGCCAATCCGGCGCTGGGTAAGGGGCAGACCTCCCCTGCATCCCGTCTCCACCCCGCTCGGCCTGAGCCTCCGACCCCGCCCGGCCGGCGGCGCTAACCCGGGCGACTGTGGCCCACAGACGCCATGCTGAGGAAGGACGCGTGCGCCTGCCCCAACCCGTGCACCAGCACGCGGTACGCCAAGGAGCTCTCCATGGTGCGGATCCCAAGCCGCGCCGCCGCCCGCTACCTGGCCCGGAAATACAACCGCAGCGAGGCCTACATCGCGTGAGCGGGGCTGGGCCGGGAGGCGGGGCGGGCGGAGCGGCGCCCTCCTCCGGGCCGAGCCTTTGGGCGCACGCCCTGCTGGGCAAGGTGCTTAACCTTTCTGATGCCGTCTCTTCTGCAAATGGGGGCGGCGATGCCCCTCCTAGGGCTGTTGAAAGGAGTCAGAGACCAGAGAACGCGCACCTGTTTCCTGCTAGCAGCCGGCACCAGAGGGTGTCCAGCGAACTTTCCTGGCCTCTCTTTTCCTCCAGGGAGAACGTACTGGTGCTGGACATCTTCTTTGAGGCCCTCAACTATGAGACAGTGGAGCAGAAGAAGGCCTATGAAGTTTCGGAGCTGCTCGGTGTGTGGGTGTTCATGCGCGCTCGCGCAGGGCACCCCCAGGGTGTGGGCAGAGCAAGTGGCTGTGAGCTGACTGGTGATTCTGTCTCTGCAGGCGACATTGGGGGCCAGATGGGGCTGTTCATTGGGGCCAGCCTGCTCACCATCCTTGAGATCCTGGACTACCTCTGTGAGGTGGGCCCAGGCCCCAGCTGGGGGAGGGGGAAGGAATCTATCCACAGGATCCAGGAGAAGGTGCGCGCTGGCCACCTGCCCCAATGCTTGCCCCCAGGTGTTCCGAGACAAGGTCCTGGGATACTTCTGGAACCGAAAGCGCTCCCAAAGGCACTCCAGCACCAATCTGGTAACAGCCCCGTCTTCCTCCCCAGCATCTCCACCGTGGGTGCTCTGCCCCTCCCCATGGAGCCTAGAACACCATCCCTACCCAGCTGAGAAGAAAATAGAGTAGTGGGTGAGGGGCGTGCAGTAACCTTGACTGGTCCCTAGGGGGAGGACCCCTCCCCTCCTTTGACCCTCTCCTTCCTCCCACAGCTTCAGGAAGGGCTGGGCAGCCATCGAACCCAAGTTCCCCACCTCAGCCTGGGCCCCAGGTAACGAAATGGCTCCCTAAGGTCAAGGGAGGAGGGGCAAGTCTGGCAGAGGGTGAAGTTCAGGTCCAGGAGGGCAGGGGCAGGAGCAGGGCAGTGGGTGTGAGGCCTCCTGTCCCAGTGCTGTGGTCTGTGTCTCACCAGGCCTCCCACCCCGCCCTGTGCTGTCACCAAGACTTTCTCTGCTTCCCACCGCACCTGCTACCTCGTCACACGGCTCTAGACCCTGTGACTGTGTCTTCAGGGCTGCACCTTGGCATCTTGGACATGCCCAGCCTGCACATGTCTTTGCCATCTTCACCCCAAATAAAATTCTAGTGCATCAGTCTCAGCTGTTCTTCCTACAGGCAGCCTAGTCAGGATAAGGTCAGCCCTACTCAGGCACAAGATGACCTGCCAGCCATCTTACAGTGGACATGGTGTCTGAAATGTGGGCTGGGTCCCAGTTAACCACCAGAAATCTCTCTGGGAGAGAAGAGGAGTAAGAGGGCATCAGTCATTTGAACCTCAGTGTGAATGAGTTCATCAGACTCTCAGAGAGAGCGGAGCCCAAAGCCAGGTGTGCAGGCAGAGAGAAGTCAGGGGTAGGACAATCGCATTTGGGGTACTATAACGGAATAGCTGGAAGAAGCCTCTGACCCAGAGCCTGGCAAGAAGTCGGGGGACAGACAGGGAGAAGACACACCAATGCTCACTCCCAAGGACACAAGCTGTTGTCCTGCCTTAGATCACGACTCTTCTTCTCATGTTGGGACCAAGCGCCAGCACACCACCTGTCTCTATGGGAACAGCTTTTGCTTTCCCAACTTCCCCACAAGAGCTGAAGGCCCCAGCTTGACAAGGTAGAGGGAGGCCCTGCCTTCCCACTCCTGCCAGTAAGGACACGCCCAGGCCACCCTAGCCACAGCCCATTTTCCCTGCTCTCTCTGTACCCAAAATATTGGAAAACTGACAAATAAGGGAGCAGGGGAGGGGGTGTTCCTGATCTAACCACATTTTTGGGGCTTTCCTGTCCCAGCCTGCAGGCCTGCATATGGGGGGATGAGGAGGGAAGGGACAGGGTGGGCACATGTGTGATATGGAGAACCACAGGAAAGGCCTGGCCCTTTTCTCCTCATTCAGCAGAAGCCCATCCTTGCTCTCAGACACCTGCAGCCTAACCCACCAGGGCTGTGTCTGGGCCTCCTAAGCAGAGGGGGAAAGGGGTGTGTCCCAGTGCATTAAGACATATGGAGACAGCACTGCCCCTGAGCCCAGCCATAAGGGGTGGGGGTTACAGCCTACAGCTCCCAGCCTCAGGCCACTTAGAGTAGTGGAGCAAGGACCAGACACTTGGGCTGTGTCTGAGCTGGAAGCAGGGTTGTAGAGAGCAGTAAGGTGGAGCAGAGCCCCCCAGCCCACCCTGTCTCAGAGCCCCCCACCCAGGCTCACCCCGACCCAGAGCCACTCTACCACCACATCAGCCAGGCTGTGGGAAAGGAGCCAGTTTATGAAATTAAATAAAGTCCACGGAGGGAGAGAACACGGCTCAAGCCCCTCCCTGCGCCGGGCCCAGCACAGCTGGAGCTCAGCACACTGGCAGCCCTGCTTTCCCTCCCCTCCCGGGAAGGGGCTTAAATAGGCCAGGCCGCAGCCTGGCGGCCGGGGTCCTGGAGCCTAGGGGGGGCAGAAGTCGGAGAAGTAGGGGTGCTGCAGGGCCTCTTCTGCGGAGATGCGCTGGACGGGGTTACACTTCAGGAGGTTCTGGGGCAGGGAAGAAAGGCATGGCAGGTTCTGTCTGGGTCGGCCACCCACAGCTGACCTCTGGAAAAGTGTCCCAACCTCACCCTCTACCCTGCCCTTGGTCACCTGCAGCAGGTCCCTCCCTGTGGCATTGAGCTTGGGTACGACGTTCACCAGGGACGTTGTGGCCGGGTACATCGGGTAGGGCTGTGGAGGGCAGGGAAAATCAGACCAGGGGGTTTGAGGCATGGAGGCTGCTATGGCTGTGAAATAAAAGGGACCACTGATGAACGAGGACCTCCCATTTCCCACCGCACCTTATAGTCTGGCAGCTTGGTCATGGCGGGCCACTGCTCCTCAGTCGGTGTCCCCAGCAGCGTGTCCACGGGGTCAAGGATCACTCAGGTGGAAAGGGGCAGGGTGAGGGGCTCTCCCCTTCCTGGGGCAATTCCTCATACTCACCCTATCCTCCTCACTTCATCCCCCAGTTAACGACAGAAGCAGGCCCCAGCATGTGCGACTCTCCTCTTTAGTCCCAGCTGCATGTTTACTGCAGGCCACTAAACCACCCTTTACAGATGCTAACTGCTTTGACCTAAAGCCTGATGTCCGTGGTCCTGATGAAGTGGTCGGCCTTCCCCTACTCCCACAAATCATCCTCCTGCTCCTTTTGGCTCCTTCATCCTAAGGATTCCCCTCTCAGCTGGAGGAGCATCCTCTTGGCTTCTTCCCCCAACGAGCCCTCCTTATCTACAAGTCACACGTTCTCCAGCTGGCAGTATGCATCTGCACTGTGACACCCAGCAGTGTCCACCACCCTCTGTGCCCCGTCCATCTGCTCACTCTTGGGGGAAGCCCTGCAGCAGCCCCATCCCGGCCCAGCTCGTCACCACTGTCTCTCCCTGCACTCGAAGCTCCATGGGCTTGTTACTCCCCCTCTGGAGGGCTGGGGCGAAGGGAAACAGAAGGATATCGGAAGATCCTCTTCAACTGGTCATCTACATCGTTGCCAGGGAAAAGCGGCCGCCCCGCATTGGCCAGCTCTGAGAGAAAGAGGAGGGGGTGAGAGATGACACATAAAGCACCCCTCACTCCCACGGCACACTCTGTGCCTTCCTCCCCATCCCCAAGGGCCTTACTCCCTGCCCCAGGGGGGACCCTTCAGACACTATTTGTCAACTCAAATGGGAGAGAAAATGCCTCTGCAGACCCCCAGCATGTCACCTGCAAAGATGCAGCCGGCTGACCACATGTCGATGGACGTGGAGTACAGCTTGGCCCCAAAGAGGACATCCGGTGGGCGGTACCACAGCGTGACCACCTGGAGAAGACCCCACCCACAGGGACCCCCTACTTAGAGGGCTGGGGAGGAGGAGGCTCATAGAGGAAAGGAAAATACTGTTTGGGGACTGAGAGATGCTCACTGGGGACTCCCTCCCTCACCCCCATAACCTAGCCCCCCAGCTCACCTCAGCTGAGTAACAGCGAACAGGGATCCCAAAGGCTCGAGCCAACCCAAAATCAGCCAATTTCAGCTCCCCGTTCTGAGGTAGATGGGAAGGGACATGGAAAGGGGCTTTTCAACAGTCTCAGGGCAGGCCCGCGCTCCCGCCTTCCAGCCCCGCTCCCCTAATCGCTCCCTGGCCCTTGGCTCCAGCCTCCCCAGCACCCGCCTTCTCCCCAAGACGTACTCTGTTTATGAGTAGGTTCTGGGGCTTTAGGTCCCTGTGCAGCACGTTGCGACTGTGACAGAATCCCAGGCCCTTTAGCAGCTGGAAGAGGAATGACTGGGGGAGGGGCAGGGAGGAGAGTGTCAGACCCTCTGGATGGGAAGCTGCGCCCAGCAGTGGCCCATGCTCCCCTCTTCACTTCTGCTTTGCCTGGAACCCACCAGTCTTTCAGCACCAAGCTCAGTGCAACATCACTCAGTCACTATGGAGCACCTACTCTGTATTGTGCTAGGTATTAGACTCAACAGTGAACAGGGGCCCTGGTCCCTACTTTTCTGAAACTTACAGCTTAGTGGGCCCTCCTACCTTCCCAGCCCACACTGACCTCTCCCCGACCTGGCCTCATTTGAACACACACAATATAACCTCAACGTATATATTGTGCTGTATTAGTATTCAGCACTTGTTTTCCCTGGAACCTGGGACAAAGCACTTGGTCTTGGGCCTAGAACAGTGCCTGGCACACAGCAAGGCCTTCAATAAGCATGTGTTCAATGAATGGACGTAACTCTTTGAGTTTCATTTTCTCATCTCTCAAGTGTAAATCATATCTCATTGACATCAGAGCATTACTGGCAGGTCAATGTGATCATGTGGAAATGATTGCTAAGATGGAGGCTCCTGGAGAGCAGAAACAGGTTTTCTCAATTGCTGACACCCCAGAGTGTCTGTGTTCTGGGCCTGAATTTGGTGCTCAAAGAGTAGGTACGCTGAATATAGACTGCAACCCCAGCTTCAATGAGTCTCCAGAACACCAGGCCCCTCACCTTCACAATTTCAGGATCTAGGTCACCATTGCAGCTGTCAAAGTACTTCTTGAGGTCCTGAAAAGGGATGGGGGTGGGGTAATGGGACAGAGTTTAAGCTCAGTCTGGGCCCTATACCCTCCCAAGGCTGCTATCCCCCAAACCCCCTTTCACCTGGTCACAGAACTCAAAAACCAAAGTCAGCTTCTTGTCGCTATGCAGGACGTCATGAAGCCTAGGGAGAAGGGAGGGCTCAGCCAGGCAGGTCCACAGGTTTGCGCCTATTATCCCACTATCAGCCCATCTCTGCAGTCCCCACCTCCTCCAACTGACCACACAGGGAAGGAGAACCCTGCCCGTCTACACACCTGACGATGTTCTTGTGCTTCAGCTCTTTGAGTAGGCAGATTTCCCGAAGGGCAGAACTCGGCACTCCCTACACGTGGGAGGGGGCCAGGTGGGCAAAGTCACATCCCACCCAACCTAGGCCGTCAACCCCCTCCCTGGCCCCGATGCTCCAGTCCTACCTCATCATCGTCATCCAGCCTCACCCGTTTCAGAGCCACGATCTCATGGGTCTCTCGGTTTTTGGCCTTGAACACTGTTCCATAGGTGCCTAGAGGAAGGAGGTCAGGGTGAGGGAAAGGATGGGGCACCCTTCCCATCCCACGAAGCCCCTCCAGGGAGGGGAGGCAACCCCTCCAGGGAGGGGAGGCAACGTGGGACTGTGTTATTTCTGACACCTGGAGGAGTAAGGGAAGAGATTCAGGGTGAAGGCCTGGTGTGGAAGAGCTTTGTGAGAAGGGATGTGGCAGAGAAGGTGCTTGCAGATGCTCAAGGATGTTTGCAGCAGGTTGAGGCTGCGGCTGCCAGGGTAGGAGATCTATAAAGGCAGCGCTTGGAGAGGGTCTGGAAATAGTGAGCAAGGGCCTGGGAAGAAATGCGGCCGGCAGGAATGATGGGGTTGGAGATCTGCAGGGAGCACTCAGGCTGGGGGTGGGTGAGGTTCTGCAGGTGGTGCTGAGGCTGGGCTAGGAAGTGCAGGAAGTGCTAAGGTCGCAGCTAGGCCTACAGGGAGTACTAAGGTTGGGAGAGGGTGTCCGCGGGAAATGCTAACGGGGAGGGTTGGTGTCTACACGGAGGGCTGAGCTAGGGGCCAAGGCTGCAGCCAGTGCTGAGGTCGGAGTCTGTGGGTATTGCTGACGGTAAAGGAGCCAGGGCTGCAAGGAATGTTGAATAGTCTGCAGAAGAAGATCTTGAAGGAATATCTCGTGGTCCCATTACCTTCCCCAATCTTCTCCAGTTTCTCGTATTTCTGCATCGCGGCGGCCGCGGGGACCCCTGCGGGCCCTGGGTTCTGAGACTCCAGCCCCGGCGTTGCAGAGGAGGCGGCACCCCAGCCTCCGGCCCTGCCCCGCCCTCCTCCTTGCGCATGGACTTCTGGGGCTTGTAGTCCAAGGAAGCCCTGGTTTCCCAGTTATGCCAGGGGCCTTAGGCAACAAGAAGACCACAATCCCCAGCAGGCTGCGCTCAGGCTCTCTGCAGTACTCGACTCCCGGGACTCGGGTTCGACAGCGGAGGCAACTCTGGACTTCAAGTCCCAGGAAGCATCTCGTGTCCGCTTTCCGGGCGTCCCCCGCCGTAGCGCCGCGGCTCCCAGGGTGCTCCGCTCTTGTTATTCCTTTTTGTGATCACAACTTTCTTTTGAAAAGGGCCTTTCCGGGACTAGACATTCCAGAATGCAGCCGGGGTGGGGGTGGGGCGCTCTCTGGGGTTTGGGGTTAGACGGCCTATATCGCGGGCCGGGGTGGCCTGGCTCTGACCCAGTTGATGAAGTTGAGGTCCCAGCGACCTCCTGACAGTCTCAGCACGGGTTTCCACCTCTCCCCAGGCCATGTGGTGACCCCAGGATTGATTGAGGAATGGCTCCGAGCCATGTCTGGCTGACGATGACTTCACAGGGACCAGCTGACCACAGGGCTGGGAAGAGAGGCACGTGCCCCAGTTGAGACTGGATTTAAGATAAGCCAGAGACCTCTGTCTCCTCTGGGCCCCGTTTGTCGACTCGGAGCCCACCCGACTCTAGCTGCTCGCTACACTCTGACATCCCGAGGCAAGCTGGCTGAAGCACTCCCATATCAGTCTCCAGAGCCCTGGCCCTCTGGAGTCAGCCAGGGTGTGGCCGAGGGTTGGCAGGTTGGTTACTGCCCTC